AGTTGTCGGCCGCCAGGGATTTGGCTGGGGTTGTGGGTTTTGACTCTAGTTAGGCCAAGTGTTGCAGTTTCTTGAGTTGAAATTGGGCCGTGATCCGATCTTGCGATGGTCGATCGTGGTGTTACCGTTGAGGCTCGTCTGGCGTGTTAGTCCGAGGGAAGGGCTATGTTCTTTGTTTTTTTGTGTTTTTGTGTTTGTGTGATTGTGCTCTTTTGTTTCTTTGTTTTTTCTCTTTTTTTTCGCTTGTATTTTACCCCTTTGGAATATAGATTCTCCTGTTGGGAGTAGGTGATATTATCCTTTTTGAGATGTAGATTATTCTAATGAAAATTAGGTTTATTATCGTGGGTGTGTTGTGTGTTTAGGGCCTCTGGGGTGCCCTCTCACTAGATTCAACCTTTGGTTGTGTTCTAGTTGTAATTATGTGTGCTATTTATAAAATTCTTATCGTTTCGAAAAAAAAAATCCAACGGACAAAAAAAAGGTCAATATCTTACAATCATTAAGAGTAATTTGGACATTACCATTACCATCCAACCAACTTACTCACCAGTGGGTCCCACGCCACATCATCACACACACACAACGCACGTATAAACACGCCAGACACACACACAACACACGCACACACACATACAACAAAAGTACACAAAATTTAGCACACAATACACACACACACACAAACAACGCGCACACACACCGAATATGCACACAACACACACAAGGACACATGTAACTCACACACACACATACACACATATATTGTACACACACACACACACACATAGAGCACACATTGTCACCACTCCGCCTGCCGACAACCACTTCGCTCATTGCCCGGCGGTCGCCACACGCCGCCCGCCATCCTACCTCAGCCACCGCCGAGCTCAATGTGTGCCGCCTCCGATTGGGAGCATACCACCAAAACCGATCGATAAGTAATATTCTACATTTCATAATTTTGTTGGTCTTGTAATATGCATGTACACACACTACATTGTCCATATATTGTATTGAACATTATTGTGCACTCATTAATTTTATTTTTAAATTATAAATTTTACAAATAAAATAAATTGTAATCTATTGAAAATCCTAAAATTATAAATTTTGGTAAATTTAAGCGATCGAACCGATCAATACACAACTCTGTAATTTCGTCAAAATAAAATGAAATTATAATGTGCATTTCTCACACAATATTGTGCACTTTCATTGTCATTATTGTGTATATAATATATTTATTTTATAAATTATAGATTTGATTCATAGGTTAAATTGAAATTTATTTTTTAAAATTTATTAAAGCGGCAGAACCTCGAGTTGTTAGCTCAAGGGCCAAGCGAGGAGGCGGAACTTCAAGCCGGTAGCTCGAGGGCCTTAAGCCTATGAAGTATCTCAAAGTTATTTATTTCTCAAGTGGTAGTTTGAGTGCCAAAGAGGTTAAGTTTTTCATATAAGACATGAACGTGAACAAGTAGCTCGAGTGCCTAAGTTTCGAAGGCTAAAGCGAGTAAGATTTTCGAGCTCAGTAAGGTCTGAAAAGGCATTCATTCACAATAAAAAGAAAAAACGAAAAGCATCCATAAAAGAACATGTCGACTAATTATTGGCATTTAAGGACATGTTAGGTGCAATGAATTATTCTTGCACAAGCCCCGATTAGGGCTGCAAACGAGTCGAGCAGCTCACGAGCTGCTCACGAGCTGCTCGCGAGCGCTCGAGTCAAAGCTCGACTCGAGTTCGGTTTTTGACCGAATTCGAGCTCGAGCTCGAGCCCATATTTTGTCTTGTCGAGCGGCTCGAGATATATGTTAATGACTAAAATACTCCTTATTATATATATTAGCATAGGTGCTTAATGGTAATTTAACCTAATTTTCGAACCGAGCTCGAGCATTTTGATTTCGAGTCGAGCACGAGCCCAGCTCGAGCTATTGTAATTTCTTATCGAGTCGAGCTCGAGCCTAAAATATCGAGCTCGACGAGCTCGAGCTCGAGCAGCTAAAAAAAAAAAACTCAATCCTACTCGATAAGGTCAATGCTCGACTCGACTCGACTCGTTTGCACCCTAGTCCCGGTATACCTCTTCAGGAATGAAGGTATAGATAATATAATACCCAGAATACTTCGGTGCACCCGATTCAGAAACAATTTGTGTATCATCCGTGACAATAATTCATTATTTCATCATCTTCCATGTAATGAGTAAAAACATTACTAATAGAAGTATTTGTAATTAATAAATGATTTTAGGAAGAATAGACAGACTTTTTTTAGGCCACGACATATATTTACTCTCACACACGGCTAAAATTCACTTTCAGAAGGCTTTGATGGGTAAATTAATTACGATTGCTTGAATCCGAACAATATTGCCTCTTGAATAGCCTTAACTATTAAAATTAAAATATCATAATTAAACTATTTGAGGCGTCGCTTTAGATCTTAATAATCTAATCATAAAACTTGCAAGAATAACGGGTGAATACTACGGTCCCGTTAGGAAACCATTCCGTCGGGATTTATAACCGTTAGATCAATTATTTCCGATGGTTACATGATGATTTAACGGTTATAAACTTTGACGGAATAGTTCCGTAACGGGACTGTAGCATTTTCCAAGAATAACTGCAGTATAAAAGGCTTCTCTAAATGCATATATGAACATTGTGATCAAATGCTTGCTTGATATTTAAGTAGGCTAAACATATATATATCATGTACTCTATTACTCAATAAACTAGTGTTGATACCCGTGCGATGCACGGAATATGCAATAAACTAATATTTTATTATTCAAATAATGTTAATTTATTTAAGACAACATGGTAATTATATCTGAATCAGTATATCAAGTCAATAATAATATAAATTTTGTTTGAATATCTTTTGTAATTTATTTTTACAGGTTTTGACTATTTAATTTATAATCTTACTATTTATAAGTTTATAAAATAGTATCACTATCTGGATTTTAAATATGATGTTTGTATATAAATTGCTTATATATACTTGTAAAATTACTGATTATCTTGATCTTATAACTTTTTCAAGAATTTATATTTTGCATATTGCTCGATAGCTAACTAATGTTTTAACCCGTAAAATTTATTTTCCGTTGTTATAATTTTTTGGATGCATAAAATATTAATTTTTTGACAATTAAATTTAAATTGTAGTAACTTTAAGCGCTTATGCAACAAATTTTTTTCATAGTAAACAATTTATTTTTATTTTAAAATTTTTCGTCTATATTTATATGTTTAATAAAAATTTTAAACATATATAATGAGTATATTAATATCCAATTTAAATGTTTAGATAAATTATATATTTAAATTATTATCAATTCATATAATTTTAATTATAATATTTGACTATATTATCGTATTTACTCATTTTTCTTTATTAAGTAGTATATAATAAGAAATATACCTTTTTAAAACTTAACCATTTTTTATATATATAGTTATTTTTAATGTTAAACTTATAATTCTTAATTGCATTCGACCATCAAATAATAATTTTGTTAATATTTTAAATTTAATTTAAATAGTA